AAATATTGTTACCACAACGAACACTTTCTTTTCTGCCGTCCCGCTTCAACGAAATTTCACGATGCAATTCCAGGTTCAGATATTTATTGCTATGCAGGAAACCCAATGTTTAATATTTTGATGCATTTCCAGAACCTGAAAATACGTCGACGAAGTCTAAAACACGTGTTGGTACCACCAAAAAACCCCGCTGTTCAGCAAGCATGGGCACCGCCACTGCTTGATAGCGATGGCAATGAGACTGCCCTGCCAGGCCCTGCTTTTGCCACTGGCTTGCTTTCGAGCCGCAGACGATCCGAAGCTGAAGCTCAGTTGCTCAGTTCATGGTGTCCTTCACGCAGCTGCTGGGTGCAAATGTGGAGCGGTGCCTTTTCCGATTTCAATGCTTATCATTTTATTCGCACTTGTTAAGTGTGGTACCTAATCAGAGTGGCTGTTCATCCGTATTATCAACCAAATCAGCTAGCCGCGAGTGATGGATGATAATAATGGCATAGAATAAGGCAAAAGTCGCCTCTCCACGATACCCTGCCGCCATCTCGGCATTGTTAGATACACTTTGACGGCAGACAGCTGCTGGTGTTAACGTGTTAATGCAACTGTTTGGTACGGTCACAAAAGTGGGTGTAGGCGTTGTTTCAGCGTGGTGTTCATCATGACCTCACTATGCATGACTGTGAATCACGTCGTGACGCTGCTGGAAAAGAATCGGAAGCAGCGGACACTTTTTTAGTTTTAAGATGAAACATTCCTTTGTTTAGCTAGCTCAGATCAGCTATATTTTTTTATTTCACTACAGCAAAATTCTCACTTCAATGAAATATTTTCAGCCTCCTGTGAGTTTCGTTGTGGCCGGGTTTGGTTGTAATGCACAACAGAGTGTGCCGAATTGACACAACAACGATGGTGTACGTGCACGAGTAGGCTGGGGCACATCATGCGCACATTACCTTGCTTACACATGATGTGCGTATTCATCTGATCATCCAGCCCCGATACCGAAGAGAGCAGGGAAGGAATTAGGCTCGCGATGGCTACATGGGGTGAGAGGCAAGGGATTGAAGTAGCGAACCAATTTGAAAAATCAATGTGGCAGAACGCTTTTCATCGGGCACGCAAGAACTTCTAGTATCTAACTACAACTTCTTATGTCACGTAGAAAGGGATGCTTAAAGAAGTAAATTACAAACAAAACAAAAGCCGCGTGCACATCACATCTTTTACCTGAAGGCGTTGCAGCAGATTGGTTACAATGTCTAAGAAAACACACCTTCATTGATACAGCACACTTGTTTTTTATATAAGCCATTTCATTCAATGATGAAACTAACAAAAAATGAATTAATATAAAAAAATGTCTGATACAACATTTTAAAATCTTAAAACAATCACCGTTGCGCGAACAGGACTGTTTAGGTGCAATCATTTTTGAACGCAAATTTTACCATGAAATGCTAGACACAGGAGCTTTAAGCACAGTTTAATTCGACATGATGATAGTGATTCTCATCCTAGTTAATTTTTGATATTGGTAGTTAATTTTCGATATTGGTACAGCTGTCATTTTTTGAGTAATGGCTTAGGACAAACCTTGCAGCCCTGTTCTGTATTTTTTCATGTTTGTCACTGGAAGACATATGCCAAGAGATCTCATACGGCACAAGCGTATTCAGGTATAGTGTGAGTGTATTCTAAATACACTGTTGATTATAAACATGCCGGCACCTGTCTCAGTCTTCGCTGTATAAAGTATAACAATTTGGTGGTCTTCGTCACCACTGAAGCAACATGAGCATTCCATAAGTGGCCCTCCATGGTTTTTCATTCGTTCTCCACATACTCGCTGCTGCACAGAAAAACCTGCTGTTCATTTCCCGCCACAACACTCAGGTTTTCAGGGCAACTCTTCAATTCTTTCAGGACACTTGACAGCTGTTTGTAGAAGACAGTCGCCGCGTCCTCGGCCATACACGCCATTCTTATTTTCTTATACTGTCTTCAATTCTCTCTCCTCATTTCCCTGCAGACAATGAGACGTGCTTTTACTTAGGGCTGCAGAAATGCCGTCTTTTGCACTCCTCATGCTATAATCGTTCACATGTCAGCTCGGTGACGTATAATGGCCAGTGAGTGCCATTTCACTGCGGTTAGCGTTTTTTTTTTTTGCGGAAGTTGCTAGAACTAGAGCACTTGGTTGAACCCTCACAGTGTTTGAATATATCAATGTTGCCTTTTTTACGTGAATAACGCTTTTAAACCACACTAGATAACAAAATTTGTGCTTAAATAGCTCTCATATAGGCGCTGATTTGTGAAATAGGCATTTATAGGCACTTATAGGAATTTGGGCACGAACACCAAAAATAGGCATTTATAGGCATTAAAAAAACACTATAAAAGCCCTTCTTAACCTGCAATTTATGTCCATATGTCAAAATGACACGATAGAAATGCAAGGAACAAAATAGGCATTCGCCTATAATCCGGTCTCTAGTCATCATCAGCAGCAGCAACCTCACTATGCCCACTGCAGTGCAAATGCCTCTTCTATGATCCGCCAGTCAACCCGGTCTTGTACTTTCTGCTGCCAGGTTATACGGTTGATCCCGGAATATATGATGCTCAAATATATCAAGTTATTGGCTATATCAAACAGTTGAAAAAATCCCCTTGAATTTCTCATGCAATATCATGGGACCGGTGCATGCGTATATCAAACTCTCTGGCAGGGAAACATCTGCTATATCAAACGCTGCACCGTGCCGAGGCCCAGTAAATGAATTTTTCAATTTTTCCAGAAACGAGTTTTCCTAGCAAATATTGATTCATTACCAGCCGTGTTATAGCAACTTCCGATCTCTTCTACCGCGCAGCGGACGAAAAGGCGGTCTCATTCCATCAGCGCTGATCTGGTTCGTTGTGCAGCGATTGCAAGTGCACTGGTATATGATGCGCAATCTGTTGGTCTCATCGCGTGGGCAAAGTGTTTTTCAGAAAGACCGATTGCCCAGGTCACCAAAATGAGCAGGGGAAGTGACTCCGCGACATCATTGCAATGTTTGCATTTTCTTGTTAGCGCTCAATGGCATGCGAGCTTGAAAAGCATGGCCTTCGAGATGTGCAACCTCTTGACGTATTTTTAGTGTTTTCGGTTTGCAAGTGCATGTCTCTGAGGCTACGCTTTTTCTAGCTTTTCGCATCAAACCAGCTAAAAGCGGTGGCTGCCAGCAACAAAGCCGCAAGTTTCATCGATATCGCCAACATGGCGACAATGGGAACTCGGCGCTTTGTTTTGCGCATTGTGGACTTGTGTGTGTCTGACCTCATTCCTGATAAATGTTTATTCAGGGGTTGAAATGAACGTTGACCCGCACGTAGTGATAAGAATTATGACTTGTGCTTGAAGAAACATCAATTAAAGCACCAATATAAACTTTATTTGTGAGCCAGGTGACGACTTTGAGTGCGTCATGACAGCGGACAATGGCGTAAGGTGCAGACAAGGGTGTGCTCGCTTCAGCCTCATAGACCTCAGTATATGAGAGCGTCGGAAATTTTGAGTACTAAGAATCTTCGGCGTCTTATTTTTCAGATTTATGGCCTAATTTAATGTCTGAAATAGCATTAATTGAGCCACCACATCGGCCACATCTATCATATTCACATTGGAACAAGCACTTTTTTACTCAGTTTGTGACCATAACTGAAAGGTAGCTTTGCCCCAGTAAGAAAGTGTGATGAAGTGAAGCATATGAAAAATCTTTTTACTAGAACGTTCGTCGTGTTTGTCTGCTTCAAAGGCAGCTTTGAAGTCATATGAGAGTGCGGTGAGGAGCATATTGAAAATTTGAAGCGGTCACTTTCAGATGGACGTTGATTGTACGTGTTTTTGGCAAGTCCGAATAGTTCAAACAGCAAAATTTGCAATGTGAATCAAATCGAATCGCAAGGATCATTATAAAAATATTCGAAATTTCAAGTATTTGCACACCCTTAAACGATAGATTATGCCGAAAGTGTACAAGCTTTCTGTTGCTGCCTCTTGTCAGTGCTCTAAGCAGTTGTGCAGGTCACGTGCTTATGTGTTTCTTTTTATAAAAAACCACTCTGCACTCTGGCCCATACTCGATGCACCATATTTCCTCATGCACTGAATGAAGTCTTGGCGAATGATGAAAAGTGGGGGTTGATGTGTGTTTGGAACAGGAGTGATGCTTGAGAATGTCAGCAGCATGAGTGCAATAAGAACGGGGTACCAGGAAATGAGAGAACAATTGAATTTAATTTCTATTTTAACTGGTCGTGATAGCAAATGTACGTTGCTGAAAGTGAGTGTAGGTGTATACTAACGGGCACGCGGGTAAGTGTAAGTAGTAGGAGTGGAGTAGAGATGAGCACAGTTGAACCCTCTCACACTCATACGTCATTACTACAAAGTTGCATCTTACACGAAAATAAGTTCATTATGTCCAAAAATTTACTATAAAGGTTTATTTCTAACACTATAATAATTGCATAACTATTTTTCATTTACTTTGTTACAACCAACATTTTGTTATATCTGAGTTCGTTATATCGAGGTTTGAGTGAATAAAGGATATGTACTGGGGAGCAATTCTGGTCTTATATATGAGGTGTCTCTTATAAGCAGGGTACGATATATGCATTTCTTATCAACTCCTATATTTCTTGGCACTCTGGTGTCTCTTATACACATTTGTCTCTCAAATCGGTGTCTTGTTAATTAAGAGTTTCAACTGTATCTGCTTGTACAGAAGCTGGCACCTGTTACTTGGAGTGAATGATTATCGATACGAAGGCTAGTGAATGTGAGGGAGAATGTGATTGAGTGCAACTTGTGTGTCTGCATTTAGTTTGCCAGACTATTATTGTCTGAGTGTGAGGGACTATACTGTTATGCCAAAAAGTCATTGCCTGATTCATTAGCCTGAATTGAAAATGTCGTAATTTGTTTTTCATGACAACCTTCCTGACAACAGAAGAGTACAGTGGAGAATCAGACCAAGAAGAATCAAATGCTGGAGTGAGTCGGCTGTCTTCAGTTTTTTATATCCAGTTGTCGTGATATTGATATGCGAATATTTTATGCTCTGAAACCTGTCAATGAAATGCAGTGAGGCTTGCCATTGTGACTTGAGTTTTTCACAAACAAGTAAACTCCTTGCCCCGTGACCATATACCTCTTGGAAAACACTCTAGTCCAGCCTAGGGATTTTCTGACATGGCTGACACATACAAAACAGCCTGCGTGCCTCAACGCATCAAGGCACTTCGTCGGCATCTGCTCTGCCAGGCACGTCTTGAATCCCAGCTGGCCACGTGAAAACTGTCTGCCTTTTCAGTGAAATAATTGAATTAATTTTTATTCATTACCCCAGCTGCTCATTGGCTCTCATCGTAAATAAACTCGTCCTAATAAACTCGACAGTTTTGGTTTTATTTTTCATAACACATTATCAGGACATCCAGGATACCAAAAGAGCACAACCAGAAATGCTTGAACGAGAAACTAGTGTGTCAGCGCTTGCTCTTGACACTAAAAAGAAGCATTCGACTTGTCAGATTTCAGTCTTTGTACTTCATTTTCCGTCTGTTGTCGCACTGTTAGTTTCTTTTGCCCTAGACAAGCCAGCCAGGTTATAACCCCTTTTTACCTGTTTTTTTGGGAAAAGAAGGACAATATAGGAAGTCCTTTGCGAACATGAGGTTGCTGTCTCTACGAATTGTTTCTGCATGCTCTGTCTATGCAGAAACGGCATAGGAGGCTGACCCGTAGTGGAACTGGTCTCTCCAGTCTGGCTAAGTGTCTGCAGAAGCACCCACTCATTGTGGTGATCACCTTGCAGCACAAAGGTGAGCGAGAATCACCCTGTCCTGTGCTTCCAGAGTCTAGAGACAAAAATACCACCCAACTTGCATTAAGAAAGACGTGCTTGTTTATGTCGCACCAAACACCTGCTTTTTGCGTTTTTTGCCCTGTGCCTGCTCCGAAACTGCCATTAGTGAGCCTGCAAGTCTGTGCTTGGGGGTCCTCTTATAGGTACAGCACTCAAGCCTCATTATAACAAGTCTTACAAGAAAATAAGGGGACTATATTGCTGCAACAGGTTGGCCACGTTCATGTAGCCCGCTGCAATCATCGTGGCACAAGCACCAGGCAAGCCCCGGCTGGCATGGGCCACGTGCTCGTGTGCTCGGGCTATGAAGAAAAGGAAGACAGTTGGATCTGTACAACTCGACTACTCGAACTTTGGCGACGATAGCCATTAGACACGTGGACACAAATTTGCCCTGATAAAGATGCTCGTTTTCTTAGCCTGTCTGCCTAAGCATCGCTACATTTCTAGTGGAGGTGCGGGGTATGAATCGAAGCCCCGCAAGCTCAAGACAGCGTAGTCCTGACGACCAGCGAGTCAACCCCATGGAAGTGACTCCTGTACACCAGAGGGCAAGTCGCCGCCTTCGAGGTGACTCACCCGAGTTCAGTCCTCTTCACTTCACACCAAGGGGAATTCAAACAATGGACACCACCACTATGACTAGCCAGGTAACACCGGCACCAGTGTTCATCAGCCAACCGCACCAGCCACCAGTATTCCACGGCGACTTGTACGAGGACGTGGAAGATTGGTTGGACCTGTTAGAGAGTGGCGAGCTTGAATGGATGGAGAAGTGTAATGATGCTGAGGTAGACAGGCTAAGAAAACAAGTGTTTATTAAGGTGAACTTGTGCCCACGAGTCTAATGACTATGATCTCCGAAGTCCGAGTAGTCGAGTTGCACAGATCCAACTGTCTTCCTCTTCCTCGTAGCACGAGCGCTTGGCGCATGCCAACCGGGTCTTGCCTGGTACTCGTGCCACGATGATTGCGGCAGGCTACTTGAACGTGGCCAACCTGTCGCGGCAATATTTAAAAATTCATTAAAAGGTCTTTTCAAACATTTTATCTATTGCAAGACTTTTTTTAGGCGCGAAGCTTCTTAAGGCGCGGGGTGTGCGTTCCCTGTATGTAGCCACCTCTCGTATAGTTCTTGCAGTGTTCGCGAGATGGTGGTACCGTCCCCTGTATGTAGCCATCTCTCGTTTAGTTCTTGCAGTGTTCACTAGATGGCGGTACTTGTAGTTGATGAAAGATGCAAGGTGTCATAAAATAGGAATGATGTCACATATGGCACGTGTCATTGGCGGAAGGCAATCGTTCGATTTAGTGCGGCGACGTACGCTAGGGGAGGCATTGTAATAAAATCGAGTGGGCAAAATGTACGGAGGATTCATGGTTTACCATGTTTATCTCCGGAGCTTCGCCCGCTCATCATCATTCACTTCATGGATATGGCGGCATTTTTTTATTTACTTTGTTATAACTGATATCTTGTTATATTCATGTTTGTTATATTGAGGTGTGAGTGTATATAAATGGTAAATATAATAGAATACTTAAGAATTCATTTTATAATAAAAATGTTGATATATGCTATACACTGAGAGACAACGCATTGAAGCACATCGTGTGTACTTGATCCTGCATTCTCCTAAAAGCTTCGAACTTCATAAGCTTTGGATGTGCTGGAGGGAGGTTCTGTTACCACACTGCCACTCGTGTGTTTCTCAATATGTCATTGTCATCGCGAGCCTTGTCACTTCAAGCAGCCTCATATTCACAAAGTCTTACTGACGTCGACGAATTCAACTTTAGCTGCAGTGCTTACGGGACCACTTCAAGAAGCAGCTCTTTCTACAGAGCTGTCTTTGCCTCAAGCTTAGAAGGCGTAGGTCACTCGGACCGACATCTGTCATGTGTGCTAGTTTGAAAGCATTCTTACTGGTAAAGTTTCAAAATTCTTTTGGGACTTTTGCTGCCCTTAGGTGAAAAAATTCAAAAGAAGAACCAAGTGCTTATCCTAACTTACCTTTCGCACTGAGCAGAGAAGTTTCAAGTTGAGCATGTCTGAGCCATCATTAGCAATAGTGGTACAACCTCCAGTGGTGACTACAGCTCAGTCCTTAAGAAGAGGTTACTTCAATCCTGATTATCTGAATGCAGGCACACCATGATATACTTGGTGCCAAAATTGCCAACCTCGTGGCTCAAGATTTGACTCAAGGAAGCAGAGTCTTTCTAGGACACCTTCCACGACATTACACAACTTTTAAAGCTCAACCACACAATGTAGTCCTCTACCCACAAGTCACTACCTAGAGAGCTGAATAGATTATTGCAGACCCTGCTTCTCAGCACATTCCCACACCCAATCATAAGTCACCTTGTAGCCCCTACCCAATTCTCTGCACAGCCACTTCTGTACGGAGGAACGAAATTGGTTTGTTTGTACAGAATAAGTTCGGTTTCCTCCTAAATTATGCAGTTGATAAAAGGATGAAGTTCGCTTTCGGGCTACTGGTGGTATCTGCACAAAGTATAAAATAATCAAATCTAAAATATCAACTTTCGGACCCATTGTCGATCTCTTGTGGAATCGCCCGTCAGTGTCTCTTATAAAGGGATTCGACTGGATAAATATGTGTGCATTCTTCATGATAGAGTCTGTGAGAGACAGGTTTTTCTCTTGCAGACACTGCATCCAACCCAGCATAGGTGGAGTGTGTATCTTTTAGCCCAATGTGTTGGCGACGATGCTGCCTTCATTATGGCAGGCTACATGTTCTTTAAGTTACCCACACAAGGGTGACTCGAAATGGTTGAATTTTAGCCCAATAAATGGGTGCAGCGCGCTTTGCAATGCCATTATATCACACACGCTGCCACATGGAGTTGAAGGTGCTTTCTGTGATTGGATTGTCTGTGTTTTTTGCTGTTATAGTCTTTCAAAAGTCATACATTGTAAATGAAGTTATACATTACCTCTCAAAGGTTCAAATGTTTGTAGAAAATCAGCCTTACAAAAAAAAAATGTGACATGAGCCTAGTTTCTGTTTTCAAAAGCTTACGACACCATGCTAGTCTGGTAACCTTGAACTTAATAGTTTGTGCTTATAAATACATACCAGTTTTTTCTACTTTCATTCACTCACACTGCAAGGCTGTTTGCTGTCCTTTTGGTTTTCGTTTCTGGGTTGCTTCTGAGACTCCACACTTAGATGTCATATACAGTTGCTAACCGATAATATTGGCTCAATAGGAACCACCAATAATGTACAAATGATTGAGAATCTTGATTACCAGATTCCTTAGAAAATGTCTAGTGTCTTTACTTTGCAAGTTGGCAGAAAATGTGGCCTTATTTTTCTATTGTCATTTCTGAATATCTTCAATTTCGCATGTGCAGCAAAAGACATTTGGATGCTTACAATGAATGAGATTTCTGCACACTGCCAAGTACGCTGTCACGCCACCATATTTGAAACGCTGTCATTCATCGATGCATGTGGTGCTGGTCATGCAAAATACCAGCAGAACAACCATTTGAAAATGTGTTTGAAGCTCGCCAGTGCTTTGGCTGTAGCACTTGTGGACGCTTACCTTTTGGCCTTGCCAGTGCATGTCCATGATTCTGCTCTGGTTCTTTTACTTATTGTAGCCCTTTTAATGCTTTCTCTGCTTTATCAAGGGTTAGTGTGGCACTGCGTGAACATTGCTATAGGTAGTAGCCACTTTCTATGAACTTTTTAGTATGGAAGTTGCATCGAATCGAGCAGAAGGTGCCCACGGCAATCACGGTTTTTAACTTCGTTGTGTTCATGCCGTTGCCGCAGATACATTTTCTGCATCAAATATTCATTTCTCCTGGTCACATAAAATGGCCGCACCATAGCAGCAGCTGCATATTTTTTCACAGCATTGATTGCGATTGCTGCATTATCAGTGCAAGCATTAAGGATGGAATCGATACTGCTTAAAACCAATTGAAGTCGAGCGGGTTGTTGCCGATAATTAATGTGTGATAAAAAAAATTAAAAAGAGCGGGATGCATGAAACAGAACTGGGATGAAAAATCATGCAGGATATCAAAGTACAGCTGTTACTAGGTACTCATTGGCTTCATTTGGCTTGTCCACTGCTCCTTGGGTGTAGTAAAGCTAACAGATCTGTTGGCCTTTGCTAGTTTTAGTTTTGAACAGTTTCTAGTGCCATAGACGAAAAAACAGCCGGAAAGCACATTAGTGACATATATATTCATGAAAACATATTATTCTTTGGGCTCGACTTGGTGGTTAAATTTTCACACCGCGTTGCAGTCGGTATCTAAATTAGGTATTGCAAAATGCGCCATATTGTGTCCTAAATTTTTTGTTGTACTTACATATCAGATCTATGGGCCCAGCTGTCCAAATAATCAGTTATGTCGGAATTATCGATTAGCAACTGTATTGCATTGTTCCGAATTGATTGGCTGATTGATCTGATTGACCGACTTTCTGTGTTCCAGGGTACAACTTGCAGATCACATTTACGTACATCATTGCCCTGCACATTGTCACAGTCACAGCCAAGGTGATGGAACCTCACGGTGTCTCCAGTGGTGTGTCCGCAAGGTAAGATTGTGACTCATCCATGCCGGTTGGGAAGTATATACTCAAGCGAAACTTGTATTGCCCTACAATGATCAGTGGCATTGTGGGTGTATTTGTAATAAAACCTGGTGCCAATGAGCATGAAAAAATATGGCTGGCGAAGGTACCCTAGTTACGTTTGTATTTGCATGCATCATTTGTGAGTCACTAGTGGTCTCTCTTATGTGCTTGTCGGCGAACAGCTATTTCTGATCGGGCGACCTGGCCTTTTAGTGAGGTTATCGAGGTGACTTGTTATTTCATGCTGCCCCATTTCATTGTTGCGTGGATATTAAGCCATGACCATGGCTCTTGCCTGTAGCAATTGAAGTGTTGAGCTGCTAAATGCGTGTATGATGGTTCCCTTCCAACCATAGAAGAAGGAAGCATTCAGGAGGGATTACTGCACAATGTGACAAAAAGATGAGATAGCATATGTCAGGCATGCACGTGCCAAGCTTCACTTACCCCATTTCCTCTATAAGGCAAAAACTTCCGAACTCATTTTTTAGTGTGCTTGTGAGGGTGCTTTGTGAATACCAGGACGTAAGAGTCGGGAAAGTGCTAAAAGATAATGATAAAAAAGATGTCTTAAAGGGCCCCTGCAACACTTTTTATGAAACCATGGAATGGATTGACTAATAGAGCTTATTTCCTCATGTATTCAACGTGACAAACATTTTTCGAACCCATGCAATACGAGCAAAGTTACAAAGATTTGTCGCGCACTGCAATTGCATTCTCTCGTCTCTCGTCCCGACGAAAGGTGTGGAAGCTATGCAAAAAGGGACAGCACAGGGAAAGCAACTATGTCATGCGTCCCTCATGACCTTGAGCAGTTTTTTTCTTTCTTTTTTTTCCCCCTTGGAATGCGTGGCTTTTCAATGCAATCATGTGCACACGCATGGACAAGCTTGGGACCTCCCATGGGGATCCCTGTAACGACCGAGCGCGCCATGCTCAAATCAGCTAATGGCTGGTCGAACGGCCGTAACGAGTGATTTTTGAGCTTCTCCAGTCATTTGTTGACAGAAGAGAAAGCAATTTTTAGCTGACTTCGAGAGTTCATTGTGAATTGGAGGGCGCTAGTTGTGCTATAATATGTGTCTCACGTGTTGTCGAGAGCCTGTACTACTGATCGGCAGCATTTTATGACCATGCTTAAAAGTGTTGCAGGACCCCTTTAAATATGGCATACAGTACTTCTGAGAGAACATTAGACCTCCTTGGGCGATCCGCCCAAGACAAGCGTAAGACAAGCTTCAATAATTGTGCGACAGGCACATGCAGACAGCGAAATGGTTCGGAAAGCAGAGAGAAAGAAAAATTTTTGTTTGCTTCAGTAAAAAGTAAGAAGGTGCTTATAGTGTGTTTTGTTTCTTTCCTTTTCCTTAACAGCCCGGTCATGTCCCCTTCCACGATTCTCGATAACTTGTTTGGTGATGACAACGGCCTCTGTTCTCCAAACCCCGGCAACCATTTCCAGCTCAAGAAAAATGGGTGAGATGTCACGCACACTTTGCATACGCATTTCATTGCCCTTTATAATCGCAGATTCATGTCTTGAGGCTGCATCTGTTGTGTTCATAACTTCTGCATTTTTCCAACGCTAAACTATGGGTCCAAATCGTCAGGTTAAACGAAGACTGAGCAGAACATAAGAATCGCACAACAAGCAATGCAGTGAAAAAGCAATAATCGTAACATCTGAAGAGGGAAACAATGGATTGAATTAGAGAGGAAGTCGGGATAGCTGATGAGTTCTCATTTGAGGTTTTCGCTAGTGAATGGAATAAGCTGAGTAGTTATTGTGATGTAGCTTTGGGTTGGTTGTTACAATGAATTGGGTGCAAAGGTTTGAGCACAACAGACGGTCATGTGGTGTGGCACAATTGATAAGGTTGTTGCTGCTGGAAAATTTTTTTCTCTTATACAATTATAGTGTGGCTGTAAACATTCTGTGTTTTACACTGGCATTGCTTGTGTATGTGCATGCATCTTTAGCTTCCGTGCGTACAGGGGCTACAGTCAAGATGGGCATAATCATTCTGTTGTGCCCCCTGTTTAGAGTCTATGTTTAGAGTTGTACATAACACACTACTTGCTATCAATTAAATTTTCTTGTAATTTTGTAATGTAATTGATCACTTTTTCTAAACTGTTACATACTGGGAATTTTCTTGCAACAGATTACCAGTAATTAATTACTTTTTTTTTTTCAAAAATTAAGTTGCAACCAGTCTTCTTGGGCAGTGCTCATTTTGGAAAACATGTGACTGCTCTGTAGGAATGGCGTCTCACATGACGGGGTTCCTGGCAACGCTTGTTCTTTCACTGTTTCCTTGACCTTAGTGGCAATGCCTTACCCAAGCGCCAGCAACAGCAAATTCATGAAGCTTCATAAGGGAAGCATTGAAGAATTAGAGGTGGCTACTTTGGAAAACAACTCCCATTGAAAGTTGACAATGAGTAATGCTGGGTAAACCGTAGAAGTCACCGTAAGGCCCGTATTCACTGACCAACCTAATCTTTATCTTTTGTTTGCCTTATTAGCTTTGTGCCTTCAGTAAGTGTAATAAACAAAGTAGACTGGTACTCACAAACTGCGCTTGTAGATATCTTTTGCCCTGCTACCATTTTTGTGCCCTTATATTGACGTAGAGTGTACTAAAACTGAGTAAAAACATGAAATAAGGCTAAGGTCGGTTATGAATACAAGCTTAAGCCACATGGCTGTCCTAGAACTTTTTCTTAGAACTTTTTCTTAGAACTTTCAGTGTGATCGCGAGCACGAGTGCAGGCACGAGACAGCCTCCTGAAGAGGGCATAGTAGCAACTATGCAACAAGTGATGCTCGAATCAGCCCATCCCTACAAACATGAGTTTATGGCACCTTCAACTAGGTACTATTTTAGGGCATCATCTAGGTACTGTTCTAGGTATATCTAGAGCATTATTAGGAGAAAAAAGAGGGAACAATTTCTAGCTTACTTGGAGAATCAGTTGTAAATTCCAGCTTGAGTGCTGTGCTTTAAGGAAAGAGGAAACAAATAAGGGAAAGTACAGGGAGGTATGCTTTAATGTTTGGCTGGTATGCTGTCAGGAGCCTCGACTACCAATCGGCAGCGTGTTCTGACCATGCTCAAAAAGTGTTGCAGGCCTGTCAGATTTTGGATATTTGGTGCTTTTTTTTTAAAGGGGTGCTTAGAGTAATGCAGGTGTCATTGAAAGCCTTGGCTGTCCAAGACTCTGTAAAAAAAAATACTGGCACACTTTAAAAACACCTAATTAACTGTGAAGCAATGAGTGCACTGCACAGTGCAACATACGATCAATCATGTGGCACCTTATGTTCCAGCACATCATACACAATAGCTTAGGACAGGGCATACAAACCACTGAGCGCAGCGTAGGCTCGGGCCACATTCAGAACTGTAGCATGTGTGGTCAAAAAACTTTTATTTAATTAGAAGTACTAAACAAGCAGTCTTGCACAATGCTGCTTCATTCTTCAAGAATACGTTGCTGCAGATACCACTTGCAAACACTCCTGCAAAAGCATGCACTTTTTTAATTTTTTCATTAGGCTGTTCCAGCACACTTATGAGCAAAGTATCAGTAAATTTCGCTCTGTATTATGATGCCACAATAATGTCGCTGCAATGAGTATTAGAACTTCAGAGCTAACTCTGGTTATAAATTTTTATTCTTTCAAATAAATGTTTCTCAACATCAATGCTTGTTTAAGTGTGATAAGTATGCAACCGGGGCTCAGCTTTTGAATAAACGGTTCAGTAATGCTTTTTTATTGCTCCACTGCAACAGTCAACTTCGAAGGTGACAGACAAGAGATTATGAATGGACGTTTGCACCAAGCAGTCCAAGCAGGTGTTTTGAAATGTTCAAGTGGCTCACAGCTGGTGCTCATTGGTTGAATCGTCGTTTCGTCAGGTTGGAGGACTTCTCCAAGGTGGTGGCCGAGGTGGGCAAGGCTTACCGCTGGGCGCAGCGCCTGGCGGGCCTCGAGTTCCTGCAGGGTTCCGGGTCCTCCGTGGTGGCGAGCCACGAAGTAGGGAGGGCCTTTGTGGAAGAGTTCGCGCGTGCCATCGCCGCCCGTTTTGCAGCTCGGGTGGGCCTTTACGGGCAGCTTCTGTCCCTGGGTGAGTAGCACAGCCGTGGCACAGGAGTCATCTGGATGTTTTCAGTGCCTCCGAGTGGAAATGCTCAGAATGGAAGGATTTGGATGATGTTCTGCGAGAAGGCTTTTGAAGAAACTTCCATGGTGATGAACTAAGCACTGCACAAGCACTGGTTAATCATCATTAAGCAGCAGCCTCAAAGTAAAAATATATGCGATGAACATTACATATGTGCTATCAACAGTAAAAGCTTGTGGGACGTTGAATCCACAAGAAATGTGCATTTCTGCTATATTCGTGCGTAATGCTTGTAATCAAGCTGGTGACTGTATTGGTCGGAATGCCAAGTGCAGTATGGAAAATTTATTTTGACATTACATTTCTTGACAAAACGGGAATTCAGCTTTATCAAACATTTCGTGTCCCACAAACTTTTGCTGTTGTGATTACACTCATAACTCGTTCTACATTTGTAACGTTTAACTCAGAGACAAGACGACAATGAACACTTGGCTGGGCCTCGCCATGACGAAAAGACCCCTGGCCGTTTATTTGCTGGGCTTAAGTAGCCGCGCTCACAGCGGGGAAGGGGGAAAGAAAGTAAGGGAAGGAAAGTAACGCGCACGAAACGGTGGAGAGAAGGAGGAGACAATATCGCCTAGGGCGAATGCTGATAGCAGATAGTCCGGTCTGTTACATCTTCTCTTCACACATTTTCAAAACACTGATTTCTTTTGCACTCATTTACTTGATGGAAGGATGGCCCGTAGTGAAGGCGCTTCGTTTCGCTGCGCTGGCGTCCTGACCTGCGCAGGCCAGCCAGTGGGCTTCCTGGAGTGTCTGGAGAAATGGTGGTGTTATAATCTTCCTCTGGCTGAGCTGGTTGTGCCTGGTGACTTCCCAGTGGGTTGTCCGGCGTGATGTTGCCTCGGTGTCCATCACTGGACTTCGTCGGGGGCCTCGCATCGGGGTTCGGATTACCCTCGGGGCTGACCTCGTCGTCGAAGTTTTCGTCCGTTCGCAGAAAGTGCTGTCGGTTCTGTCTCAGGAGCCCATCGTCTTACGTTCTTACCACGTATGATCGTGGTGCAGTCTCTTGTACCACTTTCGCTCGGCGTGACCAGCTTCCATGTTTGATCCGGACCACATTTCCGGCTTCCAAGTGTGGTAGTGGCCTGCCTCGGGAAGACTGTCGCTGTTTCCATATGGGTATGCCTCCGTCGACGTTGTATTCTGGAAGAGTGGCGTGCAGGCGGCGACCTTGCAGTAGTTCTCCGGGTGAGTGACCGCTGTCAAGGGGAGAAGATCGATAAGCCAACAGACCAAGCCATACATCACCCCAGGACTCGTGGGTTTTCTTTAGAATATGCTTCACGATCTGTACCCCCTTTTCAGCTAAGCCATTTGACCGTGGGAACTCTGGACTTGAGGTGATATGATCGAAGTCATATCGGCGCACGAAGGATGCGAACTCTCGCGATGCAAATTGAGGCCCATTGTCGGTGCAAACTTGGTTGGGAATGCCGTATCGCGAGAAGATAGCAGATATCTTGTCGATTACTTCCGCCGCCGTGGTACCTCTGAGTTTCTCGACGTCAGGAAAGTTAGAATGGGCATCAAACACAACTACGTAGTGTTCTCCAGCGAATGTAAATAGGTCTATGCCTACGCGATGCCATGGTCGGTCGGGCGTTGGCTGTAGCAGGAGGGGCTCACTCGGTTGACTATATGCGTACTTTCGACATACGCTGCACGTTCGCGCTCGTTGCTCAATGTCACTGCTCATTCCCGGCCAGAAAACCAGTCTACGGGCTCTAGCTTTGCACTTGTTCATACCCAAATGGCCTTCGTGAATTCGCTGAAGAATTTCCGCACGCATTGATTTAGGCACCACAACTTTGCAACCCTTTAGCACCACTCCATTGACCACGGATAGCTCTTCCGCAAACGGTTTCAGTACGCCGTCTATTGCCATGCCATCTTCCATTTGTTTCATGGTGTGGCTGAGAAGCGGATCTTCGAGGGTTTCCTTCTGCAGCTGCAACATAGTCGCTTTGCTTATGATGCTGGTGACTACTTGCGTTGTGTGAACGTCCACGTCCTCGACTTGGTCGCCTCCGCCAGTTGGTAGTGCGGCACGAGACAGCAGGTCTGCGAGTAACAGGTCCCTACCAGGTACAAACTGCAACAAAAAATCATATTTCATAAGACGGATGAAAAACCGCTGTAGCCTGGGTGGCATGTCTGCAATGTTCTTTTCGGCAATCGCAAGTAATGGCCTGTGATCAGTTTCTATCGTAATGCCTCGTCCATACACGAACTGATGAAATTTTTCACAAGCGAAAACAATTGCCAGTGTTTCCTTTTCTATCTGGGCGTATCGCTCTCCACTCGGCGTCAGCGCTCTTGAGGCATAGGTCACTGGGCGCCAGTCATCCCCGTGTCTTTGCAATAAGGCAGCGCCGATACCTGTTCCTGAGGCGTCCGCAGTTATCTTAGTGCTTTTTTTTCATCAAAAAGAGCCAGCAACGGAGGCTTAGCGAGCACTGCGCAGATCTGGTCCCATTCGCGCTCATGGGCTGTTGTTTACTCAAACACCGATTCTTCTTTCACGAGGCTACGCAGCAACGCCGTTTTGTTGCTCAAAGCTGGCAGGTACTTCCGAAAGTAGTTCACAACCCCGAGTAATCTGCGCACACCTTGTTTATCTTTTGGGGCTGGCATGGCACGGACGCTTTCGATTAAATCGGGACTAGGACGAATTCCGTCTCTTCTGATAACATTGCCAAGGAATGCAACCTGCGTGGTGCAGAACACGCATTTAGCTGGATTAAATGTCAGCCCTTCCTCTTGCGTCCGCCTTAGCACTGCAACGACGCGTTCATCGTGTTCTTCCTTTGAGTCGCCCCACATTAAAACGTCGTCTACGTAGACGCGCACTCCCGGCAGCCCTTCGAACATCTCTGTTAAAGTCTTCTGGAACACCTCGCTGGCTGAGGAAATTCCGAAAGGCAGACGCAAAAAACGGTACCGCCCAAATGGTGTCGCAAAAGTGCATATTCGTGAAGTGGCCTCATCTAAAGGAATTTGATGAAAGCCGGCATTAGCGTCGAGCCGGGAGAAGTATTGTGCTCCTGCCAGCTCGCTCTCTATGTCCTCTCGTGAAGGCATAGAATAGTGCTCCCGCTTAATGCTCCTGTTCACTGCTCTAGGGTTCATGCAAATGCGAAGGGTACCATCCTTCTTGTGCACAACTACCAGGGGGCTCACCCAGCCAGTTGGTTCATCCACCTTGACGATGATTGAGGCCTTTTCCATTCGTTGCAGTTCTTGTCGCAGGCGTCCTTTCAACGCTATGGGTACTCTGCGGGCAGGCTGCACGACTGGAACGGCATCCTCTCGTAGCACCATTTTGTAGGGTCGCTTGAGGCAGCCGGTGCCGCTGAAGAGGTCAGGAAATGCAAGCTGAAATTTCGTTTGCTCATTGCCTACATTCACGGCGTCCGTCGTCACCGGTACCAGACCAAACTGCTGGCATGTCTTTAAGCCAAGGATGGCTTGGCGCCCCTTTTTCACGATAAATAACGAGACTGAATGCTGTGCTTCGCTTATCTCGAGATCTTCGGTCGCCACGCCAACGTGTTTGATTGCACTGCCGTTGTATGCGGTGAGGACAGCGGCGCTCTTTCGCGGAGTGCTTGCGGGGGCGATTTGGTTGAACAGGGTTAGGGGCAGCAAATTCGCCTGAGACCCGGTATCTACCTAAAATGTATCTCCTTACCGGCTATTTTCCCGCGAACCATCCAATCCGCTCCTATGTCTCCGGTGACGCCCCAAATGCTGATGCCCAAGATGTCAAAATTTTCATCGCTTTCTTCGGCTTTGTGAACCTCGCTTATCTTGCACACATTGTTGCAGCATGCGGCGAAGTGATTTCGTTTCTTGCATGCATAACAAGTTTTTCCATACGCCGGGCACCACTCAGGGGCATGTACCTTCTTACAATTTCGACACAGAGTTCCATTCGCAAACTTCGTGCGGTGTGTGCGGTGTGTAAAGTCAACATGCAGGCTTTCATTTGACCATGCTGCGCTCTGAATGGCAGCAAGCTCAGCGGCGTTGCAAATTTCTTCTGCTTTCTGCAATTTTAAGTCTGTCACTCAGCAACTTTTCTCGAAGTTTCGCATTATTTGTCCCAAACACCACTTGATCCCTGATCATGGACTCTTCAAGTGTACCGAAGTTGCACAGTTTTGCTTGCTTTTTTAAATCCCGTAGGAACCGCTCAAAAGGCTCGGCCTCTTCCTGTGTTCGCAGTCGAAAAATGTGCTTTTCGTAGACTTCATTACCCTGGTCGACACAATATTCTTCAAACTTCCGCACTAACGTGTCACAATCTTCTCTGCTCTCACCTGCGGCAAACGAGAAGATGTTGTAGACATCGAGCGCCTCGTCCCCCGCGGTGCTCAGAAGAATCGCTGCTTTTACGGCCGACGGGCGGGGCTTCTCCAGTTCCGTTGCGGTGATGAACAGCTGCAGCTTCTGCTTGAATACCAGCCAGTTTTTCCTGATGTTGCCGGACAGTTGCAGCGGTTCCAGGGGCTTGACGAGGTCCATTTCGAACGTCAGAACCACTTCTGACACCATGTAATGTTTAACTTGGAGACAAGACGACGATAAACACTTGGCTGGGCCTCGCCATGACGAAAAGACCCCTGGCCGTTTATTTGCTGGGCCTAAGTAGCCGCGCTCACAGAGGGGAAGGGGGAAAGAAAGCAAAGGAAGGAAAGTAAAGCGCACAAAGCGATGGAGAGGAGGAGGAGACAATATCGCCTAGGGCGAATGCTGATAGCAGATAGTCCGGTCTGTTACAACATTCATAACACATTTGTGCTACCTCAATTCGTCCCGTGTGTTACAATCGAATATTGTAATTCAAATGGTGAATGAAGTACTATGATGTGCACAATTTCTTTTTTCTTTCTGGATGAAAAGTTGCCACTCACGTTGTAGTCATGGTC